GACATACAGAGAAATAGGAGATACTGGCCTCCAAATATTAGTTCATAACAATTGAGGGAGATGTGACTCAGGAGCAGTATCTCTACTATTCTACAATTATGACTAACCATTCCTAGTGGTGACAGTGCTAGAGGCGAGGTCCTAAATCTCCAGTCCACTTCAGCTTGGGGTTGCATGACTGCAAGTTTTGTGGAGTGACAGGGGCAAGCATGTGAGCCTTCCAGGTGTCAATACACAGCCACACAATTTTTCAGTCAGCATTAACACAGGGGTGCCCCCTGAGTGTCACTGTCTGGGTGATATGTGGTGTTGCCTGCTGCATGAGGCACTGCATTAGGTCCTTCACAACAGCATCATGACACGGCATAATCCTCTGTCACTGTTGAGATCCCTGAGACCTAGGACCACATAGCAAGAGACGAGTGGGTACAGCTGAGAGTTGAATCCAATGAGTGTGATCGAACACTGTGTTCTGTCTACTGGTTTTACACAGCGTTCCACAGTGCTGTGGAAGACGCCCACCTGGCCTGACTAGCATAGTGCCACCTTCTCCTCTGCTCATACTGTGACACAAAGGCATCAGGTGGTATTGTGTGTATTGCATGTCTGAAGGTCAGTGTCCACTCTAGTCTGAAGACTGAGAATGGTACTTACTCATCTGTGCACAGTGTCTGCTTATAATTGGTTTTCATTCACTGTTGCTCACTAACAAATGGAAAGTAAGGAAGGAGAGAAGGAGGTAGGAAGGGAAAGAATGAAGACAGGAAGGAAAATAGACATGAATCTAGTCCAATAATTTGCCCCAAGGCCCTGGAGACCACTGTGATCTGATGGTAATAGCCTGTGAGAAGCAGATGCTCTTCCCATAGTTCTGATAATAGTGACAGCAGAGTCGAGAAGAGCAAGTCTCCAGGAGAGACTGGCCTGCACCTGGTGAGAAGTGACCCTGTCTCTGGGTAGAGGACCACCCTTCCTGGGATCTGGAGCTTTGCAGTGGATCCCATAGGCTTCTGGTGCCTCTAGGTCTCTTGGCAATGGCCCTGTGCCTCTGGGTATTGAAGAGTCCTTCTCCTTGTGGGGTGCTCCTCGGGTGCCTCCCACCTTGGGCGCCTCTCTAGGGTGCACCTGCCCTTTCCTTCCTGTTGGGATCTCCATGGGGACTGTGGCCAAGCTTGCTCCTATTTCCATTTTGGAAAGGGCATTTTCACTTAAGAAAATTATTTTATACAGAAACAGATCTTAACCTAATGTACAAAGTGTCATCTTTAAAATTTCTTTTTAAAAATAAATTCATAAAAAAGAACATTCTACACAATCATGTGCCAGAACATTACAACTTTGCTGACTTTTTCTTTCTTTCTTTCTTTTTTTTTTGAGAAATGCTTAGACAACAGATCTTGCTGAAGAAGCCAGTGAGGGAACATTTTCTTCTCTGGTGTGGTTTAGTATGATAATTATTACTAATCATAGCAATGATGAACCACATTCACCTCGAGTTATAAAAATTAAATAATAGCTATCATATGACTCTGTAAGGGTGTGCTGCCTTTGTAATTTCCAGAGCATGCTCACAAACATGAGCTCATTGGATTTCCACAGCAGCCCCGTGAGGTAGGGAAGGACTGGGGCAACTGGTCCAGTTTTCAGGCGAGATGGAACAAGGTCAGATGACTTGCTCAAGGTCACACAGCATATCAGTGGTTGGAGGAGAGGAAGAGTCTGGGCTCCAGCCTTAGTAGACCCACATCTTTTCCAGAACACTTGGGTTAACCTGACCTGACTATCCCTGTACCTGGATGTGAGATTCTAAGGTTGGTTTTCTGAACCTTTCTCTTTCTCTGATGCCACCAAGTGTGGCAATAGCGTGGCTCCATTGTGCTCTCCCATTACATCTAGTTGTTCCAGACTTTACTGCAGAGGCTTGGAGGCTGTGGCTGCCAGACCAGTGGGAGGTGTGTCTTCATGTATTGGTAAGTTTAACAGCTGGCTCAACCTGAGACTTAGTGAAAACATGCTGCCTCCTCCACTGGCTGTTAAGACCAAACTAGGCTGCTTAATGATGCAGTTAGGGGCCTAGGCTCTGGGAATAGCAAACCTGGCTTTAGATCCAGGCTCTGATTCTTATTGGTATGTGATCTTGGGTGAGGTAACTTTCCTAACCTATTTCCCCCAAAAAATTTGTTTGATAATAGAACACATTGCATAGTTTTGATAATTAAATGAGATACAAAGCTCTCAGCCCATAACAAGAACTCAACACATCTTTGCCTTTATATTAATATTATTGTCACCAGGTGGTATGGAAATTCTTCTAGAGACCACAGTTGTGTCTTTGGCCTCGGTCATGTGGGCCCCAAAGGTGACAGTAACACCACAAAGTCATATCATAAAGCCCCCTGAGCATGGAACTGCATGAGGTTTCCAGAACTCAGCAACCCAGTCTCTAATATTCTATGAGTTTCCTATGGCTGCTGTAATAAATCACCACCAGATTAATGGCTTAAAAGAACACAGCTTTTTTATCTTACTTTCTATAGGTTGGAAATCTGGTGTGGGTCTCACTGGGCTAAAATACTGGTGTTGGCAGAGCTGTGTTCTTTCCTGGAGGCTCCAGAAGAGCCAGCTGCCTTGCCTTGTCCAGCTTCTAGAGATGCCTGCTTCTGACCACCTTCCTCCACCATCAGAGCCATCAAATGCAGGGTGAGTCCTCACATCACATCACCCTGACCTCGTTGGTCACCTTCTTCTACTTCTAAGGACCCTGGTGATTTCATTGCCCATCTGCGTAATCCAGGATAATCTCCCTGTTTTAAAGTTAGCTGGTTAGCCTCTTTAATTACACCTGCACCCTGGTTTTCTCAGTTCTGTGATTAGGACATGTACATTTGGGGAGAAATTATTCTGTCTACCACAGATATACAAGTTCTGCTAACTAACTTAAAGCCTGGAAGCAGGGTCCAGCACCTGGGGGCCACTGCAGTGGAGGGGTGAGGAAGGCCGCTGGGCCCAGGCAAATTGGTCCACAGCCCAGGATTGTTGTAGCTGCTGTTTCTTGCCAACTATCTGCCAGACATTTTATGCACATATTCCTTTTAATCCATGCAATCATACAAAGTGCTTATTATTAGCCTCATTTTACACAAGGAACCTGAGACTCAGAGGAATTAATTCATCCAAAGTCACCTGATGGGGCTAGTGTTTGCACTTAGGTTTGACTCCCAAAGCCTGTTAAGGTGTTTCTCAAAGAACCATCTGTGCATCTGAATCAGAATCCCCTGGAGGGCTTGTTAAAAGCAGACTCCTGGACTCTACCTCCCATCCCACTGTCCTGGGCCAGTGAGTCTAGGAGAGACCCCAGGATACTGCATTTAGCAAACTCCCCAGAAAAGCAGGTGATTCTGGTGTTTGCTGAGTCATGAGAACCACCTCCCTAGAGCACACAGCCCTGTGTGGAGCATGGCACCAGTAGGCAAACAAGGATCCAGAGCTCCGGGATGGAGAGACAGGACACGCAGACTATCAGTGGAGGGGAAACAAGAAGATCCCACAGAGTGTCCTCTGCCATCTCCTGGTCCAGGCCAGGAGTGCAGGATGGGCTTGCGGCTGGGGCCTCATCTAGCTTTTCAGGTGCTACCACCAGGGAGTTAGAGACCTGGCCAGCACATTTCCGACCAGTTTTTAGCTGCTTAGAGGGATGGAGGGGACCATGTAGTGTCGCTGGAAAAGGGAGGCACACTGAGTGTGGAATACCTGCTCCCTCCCCTGGTGTGGAAAATTGTGGGGCAAGGGTGGCCCCCAGAAACCTGCTAACTGTTGAAGAATGTTCAGGATCCTGGTATACTGGGCTCATCCCTGCCTACAATGCTTCACTCCAAACTCCAGAGTGTCTGCTTCCTAGAGGTCAGGCAGAGGCTGTGCAGGAGGGCTGGGGACACAGAATGGACCATCCTTCTCTTTGGGCAGAGTTAGGATGACTTCACGTGTGGTTAGTATCTCATCATAGACCTGTTCCCACAGGGGAGGTGGTGTCCTCATCTAGGGCAGGTTCCTCTGCCAAAGATGTTTATGGAGCTTTTGCAACAAGCTCAAGCAATTCACTACCTGGGGTGGGTGCTGGTCCCATGGTCCCTCCATCTCCCTGTCAAGCCCTTTTACTTAATTAACCTTCAACAGTTTCTATGCTTTCACTGGTCCCAATGTCAGCTCTGAGCATGGACAGACAAGGGGTACAGAAGTGCCCTGGAATGGGCTATGGCCTCTCAATGGCCTCCATCTGTGCATTCATGGCTCCCATTCCCCTAACAGGCCTGAATTGCTCACCAGGTGAGCCCCTCAAAAGGATGGACATGGGTAAGGGCATTATCTCCTGAAGGTCCTAAAGTCCCCAAAACACCCGCTTATAGTTCATCAGCTGCTTCTCTTATTCCCAGGCCCTTCCTGTGACCAAACATTTTTACCAGACCATCTGATTCTGACAGAAGCACAATGATGCCAAAGAAAGAGAAAAATATTTTTAACCAGCCAACTTTGGTGCAAGTTCCAGCAGAACTGTCTGCTTCCTATGATCTTGGGCAAGTAAGTACCTTAACCTCCCTGGGACTCACTTCACTTGCCTGACTCACGGGGTCATTTTGAGCATTAAATAAGATAATGCATATAAAAACACATTAAGAAGAGTAACATATTGCATACATTCATTAAAGATTTATTGAGTTCCATTTATTGAGTGTTTATGCTATGCCAGGCTCTGAGCTAGGCACTGGCAGCATGGACATTTAAGATAGAGCACACACTGAAAGCATTCTCAAGGCACAGCTTTCATCATTAAGATGAAATGATAAGCGAACATTTGAAGGTGAGAAACCCAAAAACGGTGATGAGGGTGTGGGACCACGTGGGGATCCTGGCCGTGATAGTCACCTGGAAGCCAGGGTGTGATGGCACCATTACTTGTGAGTGGCCTAGTGAAATCCCCACGTGTACCTGTGTCCTTTCTGATGGATTCTGTTCCACAGGAGGGAAGTATTCTGGCTTGGGGCTTCTACGTTCCAACTCTCTCTCCTGGCATCTACCCCTTGATCTGGTCCTAGATTTTCCATCCATTCTACTTGGAACCTCTTAACTTTGGGCTTCCACTGGGTTTTTTGATTCCTTGGCTCCCGGATCCAAGGCAGATTCATAAAGTCCCTTGTTTGAAATCCATGAGACCTGAAGTATTTCAGAAATTAGCTTTGGATTTTAGAAAAGTAATACTGTTCATGTATTTCATCCTAAGTAACACCCTTGGCAGAATATGGGCAGCAGCTTGGTTCAAATATGGAGGTATTTTGGAGTGAGACCCACAACTATTTTCCACTAAGTGGGATTAGGAAAGACTACAGATGATCTCATGGTGCCAAATGAGTTATGATAAACTTTTGATTTTTCAGATATGATTTTGAGCTTTGAAATTGTGGCTGAAGGACTATGGATTTATAACAGCTTAGCCCTTGGGCTTAGTAAATGTGTTCCTTGTTTGCTACAGGTCTAAAAGATTTTATTATTTTTACATTTTAATAATTTAAATTAATGCATCCCCAGCATAGTGCTGTGGAGGAAACAGGCATTATGGACCCTGTTTTTGGCCTGGGCATCCCTTCCTGAGCTGTAGCTACAGGCCAGCATCCTCTAATGCCACATTCCAGCCAGATGGAGCACACCACTTAATTAAGCAAAAAACAAACAAGCAAGCAAACAAACCAAAAAACAAAAAGGGATTTGGAAAGGGGCAACTCATAGTGAAGTTACCTTCTTCCCCATGTTACCAGGGATTGACATCGGTCACCATCCTAAGAGCTCCTTTTGCTTCAAGTGGAGATAATGCCTCTCCTCATCACTCCTGAAATCACTTATTTACTTGTTCAAGTATTCATTTTCTCACCCCTTCTTTTGTTGATTCATTTGTCCCTTTACTCAATAAAAAATAAGTTCAGTGATAAATCTGTATCAGGCCCAGGGCCAGATCCTGGGAAAAGAAAGACAAATGAGACACATTCTTGTGCTCTGGGGATCTTAGTCAAGTGGTGCAGACAAACAGGAAACCAACCGTGATGAATTTCAAAACAGAATGAAATCAGGGACAGGAGGGTGTCCAAGCAAATGGTCTATGTGGGACAGACTGAAAAGGAGGTTTCAGAAGGCTTTATGGAGGAGAACCCTACTGCCCTAAAGAACAATTGGTTTTTAACGGACACAGAGGGCAAGACCATGGATGGGCCGGGTGGGTGTTCTAGATGAGGGATGTGCACAAACAAGGAGAGTTTAAAGTCATGACACACTTGAGGAAAGTGGACAGCAGGCTACAGGTGTGGGGAGTAAGTTGAATAGCTGCCACACCTCCTGGTGTGCCTATGAGAAAGACACTGGTCCAACAGTGAGGCTCAGCAGGGCAGGCATCCCTACAGCACCCTCTCAGGAACGCCTTTAACTTTTGTTTTAATTGAAGTATAGTTGATTGCAATATTGTATTGGTTTCAGATGTACACCATAGTGATTCAGCAATTTTGTACATTACTCAGTGCTCTCATCACAACAAATATAGTTACCAACTGTCATCGAAGAAAGATACAATTTTTTCACAAATAACACTACCTGGAGCAGAGGATACCTCAAGTAGTTATCTGGTCCAGCCCTGGTTTGAGCAGGGATTTACTGACAAAGATCACTAGGGCAAGCAAGTGCTGGGAGGAGGATAGACTTTGACCATCTTAACTTCCTAGACTAGTTGTCAAGTCAACCCCATGGTTTGGAAGACATTTGACTGAGGTAGATAAGAGTATTGTTTAGATTCTGATTCTAGCTCTGCTACCTTTCAGCTGTGAGACCTCTGGCACATTGTTTAACCTATAAAAGCTTCAGATAGGCTTTTGTCAGGCCCAGGTGAAATTATATGTAAAGTTTCAAGCTAATAAGACATACACAGAGGTTTGTTCCAGATGTAAAACCATTGAGGATAAGGTTTTTTAGCTGCCTGTTGTCTCCTTTTCCTCCAGGGCCTGCAACTGGTGCACAATGAGAGATCAATAGGTAAATGCAGAATGAATGAAGAACTCCTCACCCCTCAATGGCTAATGAATGCATCTTGTCTTGTTGTTTTTTTTCTTTCTTCATTTAGTCATTTTCACTTACTTTCCCATGTTCAGTTTAATGTGTTCTTTTGATCTTGAGGTATGAGTTGCACCACACCCAAGACAGGCAGGTACTACAGGGAAAGATTCATGATGTAGTTACTGACCAGGCTCAGCCTAAGAGCTGATGGACTCATTATCAATATGGAAAAGTTCAACTTCATTTGACTGCTTCAAGGAGAAAAATTATGTGAAGCAAAAATAATTATCAAAAGGAAAGAATTGCAAGCAGAAAGTTAATCAATACTCAAACTTATCTCTTTACCCCAAGTACCTGACACTAGGACTCACAGGTGTATAGTAAGTACCCAATGCATGTTGAATGGAAGAACAAAGAAATGAATGAATGACTCCATGAGTGAAGGCATTAGCAAGAGGGGAGGAGAAGGGAACTCTCACAGAGTGCCTACTGTAGGTTAAACTGTGTGTTGGTTGTTAAAAATCTATTCATAAACAAAACAAAATTCCCATTTTTGTGGGCCAATATTTCCCTCTTTGTTGATAATTTTTTTCTTGTATCAGATATTTACTGAATTCTCTAAATTTAAGAGAAGTCTTTTTCTTTGTCTATGAGGCATATAAGAAAACAAGAGCATTGGATGTGACTTAAAACCATACATGTGGCTCAGGAAACCTCATTGAAATGGCTTAGAAAATAATTTTTCACTTGCCTTGTTTTAGTGGAAGACTAGAATGGAATAGATAGTCAAATTATGGGTTAGCAGGTTCATGCAGTTGGGAGGTGAATACACACCCTTCAAGATGGGGAGGAAGAAAAAGTTTATCTCCCTATATCCCACTCTTTTGAAAGAACCAATGGATGAATCAATGCAGATTTTCTGAGCTGCAAATATAAAATCATACTTTTGGCAGTTTATCTGGAATCCTTTATTCCTCAAAGTTAAAATCCTCCTTTATTCTCTCCACTGTGTTTGGTAGATTGATGTTGAATTTTAAAAATGATAAATTTTTTGCACTCTAATGAATGATATTATAAATATATAATAGATTCTAAAGGCACATATTACTTAATTTTCTTACCCTAGTACATATGTTTTCTCATAAAATAGAAAAAGATTAAGCACCACAAACTTATTTTAACTGTGATTTCATCCTCCTCCATGATGCTGGTTCTTCCTTTACAGTTAATGGCAGTAGAAGAATGGCACCTCATGGTATGGAAACCGCTGACTGGAAGGAAATGATGAAGAGGCAGCCCACAACATTCCTGTTTGTGAAGCTCTGCTGTCCCCAGCATTTGTCTCTGCCCACACTGCCAGGCTTTGGGGGTTAGCAAGAACAGCAACTCAAACCAATAATCTTCTGCCACTTCCTTTTCCAGTGTTGGCAGTGCTGTCAGCTCCCACGCACCATGGAAAGCCTGGTGGTAAAAGAGTCATTGCTGTGATTATCTAGGGACACATAACGTGCTAATAATGAAGCATGTGCTTAACATTGATACAGTGTGCTTTTGTTATTGCTGTTTATACCAATCACTGACGTCTTTTAAAAGTGAAGTTAAATTCTAACAAGGCATTTCCAAAATTTCATTTTGGTTCCTATACACATGAAAGAGCTATTAAATGTTAACATCTTTTTGTGGATTAGCTTCCTAATGCTAAGAAGGAATGGAAGCTGGCCATGATCTGGAGGAAGAGGTGTGTCAATACTTGCAGGCTTGGTGGGTGTCCCAGGTGTTAAGAGTCCAGAGAAAGGGTGAAAAGAAGAGAAGCATCCTAAGGAAAAGGGAGAAGTTGGAGGGAGGGAGCTGAAGACCATCTCCCTTAGAACAAATCCAGATCATCTCATTTAGAAGGCTCTGCTTTAAAGACTATAATTTTAAAGTCTGTGTCCCAAGCCCAGGTGGCTCCTCTCCCACAGAACTCACACAGGGGTGACTTGACTCCTACCTACACAGACTTGGCTTTATACCAGGCCCTGGAAACAAACATGTTCATCATCAGTGGGTTTTGAGGAACTAGCTAATCACCAAGGCACTGGAAGTTTCCTCTGAACAATTACATGTGCCTCATCAGCTGAGCCTTGGTTGGTTAGAAGGATGCTGGGCTTGTGTGCCATTCATTTACCCAGAAAACAATTATTTAGTACCCACTCATGGGCTATCCACTCTTCTACATCCTGGGGACCCAGTAAAACATTCACACATCCTTTCCATGGAGCTTGAAGTCTACACGGGGAGGCAGCATGAAAAGGGGATCACACAGGGGTTGTACTAAGTGTGAAACCCAGTCAGGTGTGGAGTGTGCAGGACAGGTTAGGGTAGGGTTCCCTAAGGAAGTGGCATTTCATGCCAAATCTCAATGACAAGTGGGGATTAGCCAGGTGAAGGGTGAGGGAGAAAGTGCACCAGGAAGAGGAAATGGCATGTGTGGGAAGACCCTGAGGAGGGAAGCAAATGAGCAAGGGTGAAAATAGCATAAAATTAGGCTGAACCCTATGACCCAGCCGCTCTCCTTTTAGGTATATACCTCACAGGAAAATACATGTTTGAGACCAAAAGTATGTACTGAATGTTCAAAACAGCAGTGTTGTTAATATCTCCAAACTGGAAACTCCCCAAATGCATATCAGCAGAAGGATGGATATATGAATTATGGCACATTTACTATTCAGCAGTGAGGATGAGCTACAACTCTCCACAGTGGTGGGTGGAGCCTTACAAACCTAAGGCTGGGTGAGCGAAATCAGGCACAAGCAGGCACTCTTGTGTGGCTGGGCTTAATGGAGTTGCGAACACTGTGCAGTGGGCCTCCTTTGGAGGGTGAATGGCTAAAAGGCTGTTATGAGGGGCAGTTAAGGTGCTGGCCACATTCTGTTCCATGATCTGGGTGCTGGTTACGTGAGTGTGCTCAGTTTGGGAAAATTCTTGAAGGTACACACTTAAAATATATGACCTTTAATTTATGTACATTATACTTCAACAAAAAGTTCAAAATAGGCAGCTATTACAGGTGGATAGCGATCTTGTAGATCTGGTCTAGGTTTTGAGTTCCACTCTGCTTCTGTCCCTGTCTTGGAAACCTGGGCTGGCTGTTCTCTCTGTACTTCTACCTTTGATAACCTACGTTCCATAAGCCCCACACTGTGACCTGGCCCCACCTCTGCTGCTAGGCTCTGTATTCCCTCCTGTCCACCCACCTGCTGTCCAAGTCACATGCTCTGACTGCAGGCAAGCCAATTCTCTCTGCTTCTGCCGCTCACTCCATCTCCCCATCTCGTCCCACTTCCTGACAATGCCAGTATCACAGCCTTCCCTGAGTCTAAATGGCTGATTTCATTGGAATGTGAAGGGAAAATATTTGTTTCTACTTCATTTGACACAACCCCTAAGATGCCACAGATGAGATCTCACTTAAGATCTTACTCAGATTGTTTTTAAAGCTCAATATTTACCTCTCTCTGCATCAGAATCCTTGCTTAGGGCTCCTTGTTAGACGACAAAATAATAACCCCATAGTGTTTAAGCTACTTTTGTTTGGCTATTCTGTTACTTGCAGCTGCAAGCATTCCAACAGGTACTCTGCAGTTCTCTTATAAAGCAGCCACTTCCTGTTGTCCCTTTATCTCCTTATACAAGGGTTGGTACATAGCATTTCTGAGCATGGAGAGGTGTCTGTATTGGGAGGCAAGAGATCTGAGATATAACACTCTGTGAAGCTTACTATCAGACCTTTCAGTATCAAAACAAACAAAACAAAACAGAAACAAAAACAAATGAACAAATGTGTGAGTGAAGAAATAAAAACTTACATAGGTGACCTGATTTTAAGCAGCTTATCTAAACTCTCAGGGCTTCAATTTCCCTGAATGTTAACTTTGAGGGTCACACCAGCTGAATACTTCCCACATTTCCATTTCTTGAATACTTTCTTGATTTTTGCCATATATTCATGCCACCTGAATTGCACTGTTTGTATTTAAATGTATTCCCTTTTTCAAACTTAAATTTATTTCATAAGGAAGTATTATATCATTACTTTAAGTGAAAAATCAGAATCACTCTCAACCTAAAGAAGGTAACTGTAAAAATAAGTACAATGTAAACAAAACCAGTTGGTTCTGGCTAAATCCTGTTGAATGTGGAAGGCAAAAGGGAGATAAGCAATCACTAGAGGCCTCCCTGTTGTAATCAGAAGGTTTAAAGAGAATTCAAAGGGTCTCACTATTTCATTGTGCAAACCAGTATTATTTCATACTCTGCCTACACACCATCTAAAATCATCCTGCAAAGCGCTGGAGCAGGTACTGTTCCACATCCTGGGAAAATTGGTCCAGTGATCCCTTAGGATCTGGCTAGCAAAAAGCAAGGAAGTGGACAAATAGTGGAGGTGTGGGTTGGTATAAGTCACTCCCTTTGGCTAAGGGAATAATGTGAGATAAACACTTTGGTTTGCAAGTATCAACTGGTCCTTTGTCCCTGCACTCTACTTCCCTTTCCTTCATTGTTTGAATGAGAGTAGCAACACAGAGCTGTCCACAACACAAGGATGAAGAAAGAAAGAGCTGATGGCCTGTGCACCTCACCTGCCAGCCTTGCCTGACCTAGAAGTGGTCCTCGCTCTTCCCTCACCCTCCATGCCCAACACCATCAAGACACAGTAAGAGCCTCGAAGTCCTCTCTGTGTCAGGGCAACTTCTTACAGTCTTATCCTGTTCCCAAATGAAAACCAGATTCTCTAGATCTTTGTGTTTTGCATTTAGGCTAGATGGTGAGATCTTTTCAGGGTACTGTTCCCAATCTGTATGGAAGTGAGTTATGAATGATGAATACTGTAGATCATCTTGTTTGTGAAGGTACCTTAATATGCTGAAAGTAATATGAAGCCATATATCTTTCCAGATGAATATATCCAGATCCTGAAACAGCTTAATAGACTCCTCCAGCCCCTTCAGTTATTGTTGGGGTTCATCAAACAGAATTCACAGAAAAATATTATGGCTTTTGACCAAAACAAAAATTTCCTGTCTCTGATTTCCTGTAATTTCAAAGCTATTTCCCTTCTGTCCTGTAACTTGTAAACCCAAATCCCCAAAGTGAAAGAGGCCCTATATCTTGGCTTTTTCCATAGCTCTATAATAAATAATTAATATCTTACTGTTTTATAGTGTTGCTTTGCCCTCAGCAAGGATTGCAAGACATTGCACATTCCACAGACTTTCGTGGATGCTCCTTTAGTTCTCAAGGAAGCCAACATTGTCAGTCATTTTAAGTTTTAATTAAGATGTTCAGAAAGAATAAAAAGCCCGTAAAAGATTCTGCATAGTTTATGACTAATATTTCTTAAAGCAGGTACTTATTTTTACCTGCATATTAACTGGGGCTTCTATGAGTTTGCTTCTTTAACCCGTGATAGCATTCTTGCCCACTTAGCTTTAGGTGGCCTCCAGTTACTTAAGTCATTTTAGAAAATCATGTCTATTTTATTCTTAATAATTTTATTCCTGTTTCTGTCTCCCTCAAACTTCTAGAATATAAGAGATGATGTATGTTCCTTTTCTCTTGGTTTGTCATTGGCCAAGTCAGCATTTTTATGATGTCATACAGAAGTCATCATATTCCTAGGACACTACAATGTTGAAATATTTTGAGAAATGACACATATCAGATTCTAGTTTTGGAGAATTCCCACTATATATTAGTCATAGACTTAAAATCTCAGGGAGCTAAGAAAATAGTTTAACATTTTACCAAACTCACATTAACTTCCAAGTGGTAGGTTTGGCACAGGTGTTCAATAGCTATTTCTAAAACTCAATGTATATAGATTTGTGTTTAAAGAGAGTGTGGTAGTTTTAAAATGTGGTCTCAAATTCTTTGACACTCCTTTCTTCAAGAGTAGCAGGTGCCTATATCACTCTGAATCTGGGTGGGTTTGTAAGAATTCAAAAAATAGAGTACAGCAGAAGCATGCACTGTGCCTAGATCACACATGTCCCTGTAGCTGTACCATGTTCTCATTTGGAGTCTCAAGCCACCATGGAAGATGTTAAACATCCTGAGACTACCATGATGTTGAGACTACACATAGTTGTATTGATCAGTGGCTAAACCTAGCTGTCCAGCCATCCTCTACAAGGTGCCAGCATGTAAGTGAAGTCATCTTGGATCCACCAGACCCAGCTTATGCACCAGCTGAATATCACCAGGAGGCCTCACTCAATTGATGCCATGTAGAATAGAAAGATCACTCAGTTGAGCTGTGCTTGAATTCCTGACCTACAAAATGGTGAGAAAAAGTGAAATAATTGTTTATACCTCAAGTTTTGGGTTAGTTTGTTGCATAGTAAAAAATAACTGGGTCAAGGATAGTTGAGTTCTTAGTTGTAGGAGAGAAATCTGAGTGTCTTCTCTGAGACATTCGAAAGCTAGAAAGGTCAGAGCCCATCAGGGAAAACTTAC